TCACGGGATTCGTTTCCACGGTGCGCAAAAGTGCCTCAGCCGCGGGCAGCCGCAGTGCTTCCCAATTACTATTTGCCGGCGTATAAGACGACCCGGCATATAAGACGACCCCCCCAATTGGAGGCATCTTTTTCAGGGCAAAAAAGTCGTCTTATACGCCGGCAAATACGGTATTTAGACTACATTTCTTTATATTCCAAAGTGCATCAAAATACAATTTAAGCATATACTATGTTCAAAATAATTATATTTTGAGACTGCAGCCCAATATCCATGTTAATAACCATTCAAAACTCTTCCAAATATGATGCCTATGTGATATAATTCCAAGCTGTTTCTTGGAAAACATTCTGTAATTTAACAATCATGTGCATGTGCCTCTAACATCATCTGCAGCAAGAATATAGTGATATTTGTATGCCAATCCTATCTCTTTCTTGAGAACACAATCCTTTCTGGAAATACTCAATTTCTACATAAGATTATTGTCTTTCAGTTTTCTGTTTCTCTTTGATCTTTAATAGGCAATATAACCATTCGGATTTTGCCCAAGATAGAAACAGAAGGGCTTGACTTACAGGATATTTCTGGACTGGTTGAGAGCACTCAGAGATTGATGCAAGACACTTTTAATCATATTTCTGGGAACAGCGTGCAGAGAAAGATGAGACACTCGTGATCATTAAAGCCTCAGAAAAAATACTGGTCATACTGGAACACTGAAAATAAAACAAGAACATTTATCTCCTAAAAAGGCCAGGAATTACACTGAGTTGGAAAAAGACTAGCATCACCTTGTTATCTTGCTATAAAAAAATACTAACTAAATATGATCTCTTTTTGATCGTTTCCAAGGAATCTATTTTAGAGAGGATGCTTACAATAGCAGGAAGATCTCTATGTCCACTTAAATCCAACATCACTAAATACGGTCTGTTTGATCGACCTGCCATCCAAGACTTGGGTTATAATGAGTAATTTAGTAATAAGACTTTATTACTGAAAGTAAATTAATTTGCATAAGTGCTAAGGTTGTGGAAAAGAGGTACTGTAGGTCTCCCAAAATAAAACATTCATATCTAGTTTGAGTGAGATACATTATTTGTATCCAGGAAATTATAATGGGAAAAACCTGAACTGAGTCACTCAGCAGAGCTGGATTAGGCAATGCAGTCAGATGGGCAAAAGTATGTTCCCAAGATGTGATTTTCCAGACTTCTTGCCTCCTCCTCCTCAAAGTATCATTCTATAATCTATACTATCATGTTGCAGATTCTTCTGACTGTAACACGGGCCATTCCTTATACAATGTTTAATTCCTTAAACATTGCTTATTCTAGCAATGTTCAGACTTGTCATTTGGTTGGAAGATTCGAAGATGGAATGTTTTTTGTATCTCCACATGCTGTGAGTACAGCCAGTTGTTTATAGCTTGTTTTAAATGGCTGCTACTGTATTAATCTTGTATTGTTTCTGTTTAGAATTATAAAATTGCTATGCTGGATCCTATTTTATTCTTCACTTCAAATGCTTTGGGCAGGCCAAACAGTAGAAGTAGAGAAATATAAATATATTCTGAATAAATTCAGGATGCATTATTTTCAGGTATTTGAGGTTGAAGAGTGATGGGAGCCTTAAGCAGACTTGTAAGTAGGCTGCAGCTCTAATATTTATAGGACAGTTTCTATAAAATAAAGGTTAGAGTTTACATTTGGAAGGTAGGTAGAGGTCTGAAGTTCCTAAAACATTCCACTCTAATATGAAGTTTTTGATAGTTTGGCTCTCCTTTTAAACATTTTCAGCCTTTAGTTTCTTATTTGAAACTAAATCACTAAACAATCCTTTGGAAATATTAAGGAAAAGCTGACATGGAATACAAGCTGTCTGGGATCTATTATGTCCAAAACTCTGTTCTGGGACTGAGGCTAGAAGTGATCTCCGTTGACAGTACATAGCAGGGAAGAACCATTTCTAAAAGACCAACCTAGCAATTAAGTTTCTTCTCATGTTTATTATCAGAAGATCTCTTATCTGTGATCTAAAGGAAGTGCCTAGATACAAACATGAAGTATGATGTTTTCTTCCTTGTAATAGCAGGATATTGCCCAATGTCACATATGAATCAGGTTCTGCTCAAAAAGCAGGTCTTGGACTAACTATGTTGGTAATAATTGCAAGACAGAGCTGGCAATTAAGAACTGTATCTGATATGGAACTGCAGGCAAAGGTGAACTTTCCTGTTACATTCAGAAATTGTGTTATATTAGCATTACAAAGCAAAGTATTCATAATGTATTGTCTCCAGTCCTCTTCAAAATGCTGCAGATAATAGAAAAGTCTGGGTTTAAGTGGAGGAAAAAACATTTTACTGATAGGTGCTTTTTCAAAAATTAACTGGAATTTATTTTTTTCCTTAATAATGTTTTGCTTCTCATCCAAGAAGCTTCTTCAGTTCTGACTGAATGGTGGGGAATGGAAGGATTTATACTGTTTGCAGTCATCTAGTTGTTAGTACTCTGAGGGACGGTCATTAGCTCTCTGAAAATCATGAGGCGACTTTATCCATATCCTCAGAATCACCTGAGTCAGAGTGCAAATGGTATGGAATTTTCTTGGGACTGCTGAAAGGATTATGTTGTAGACAGGAGGTAGTTGGTGTTGTATTCCCTCCCCCTCTGTAGAGAGAAGGCTTTTCAGTTTTAATATAGTCACTTTGATCTGTATTTCAAATCAATGGTCCTTCTGTCCAGCATGTAAACTTTACTGTCTTCAAAAGAGTACCTTTTGTCTTTCAGATGCCTGAAAGTCCTTTCCAATAGTCCCAAGAAAGTTCCATACTCATTTGCATTCTGATTTAGGTGATTGAAGATACAAATAAACACCAAGTGGCCTCAATGACTCTCAGAAAGCTAACTACCAACCTCCAGAGTGCTAATGACCAGATGACTGCAAAAAATATAAATCCTTCCATTCCCTACCATTCAGTCAGGACTGAAGCAGCTTTTTGGATGAGAAGTGAAATGTTTTAAGAAAAACACCCCAAGAAAGTCCAATTACTTTTGGGAAAAAAAAACCTTTGGGACAACCATGACCTTAATTCATAAGCAATACTGATACAGAGCAAATGCTTCTCATTTTGAAAACCTCACCAATCGAGACTGTTTAAAAATTGACTTTTTAAATGAACGTTTACAAACACAAATTCAAGCTTGTAGATCCAATCTGCCATATCTGACTTTATGATGTGTAATTATACAGACTGGGATTAAATGCACTGCGGTCTTCCTGTTAAGGGCTCCAAACACACATCACATCCAGCTTTAGGCTGGTCCAATTTCAAGCAAGAAATGCTGCCAGATTTGCATGGTTTGCACATTCTTATACAGATACTGTTGACGGACAACTTCAGCAATCTTCTGTTCCCTCTTAAAGCTTTAAAGGTTGGGTCCAGGGCCAATCTGACTTTCAAGGGCTATGCTCTAAAAAAGTAGGTGGAGTATGGAGGAAAGTGAGAATTGATATAATTTCATTTATATTATTTTAAATAATATTGATTATTCTGATAGGAGCTTGATAATTACAATTGTCTTATGTCAGGATACCAAGTGTATAGAATGCTAGTTTAATAAGAAATTCAGTGGAATGCCAGACTAGGTGAAGAGATTATATCCCTATAAGTGATATGGACAGTGCTTAAAAATCCAGCCTGGAGCCCTGGGTTTACAGGGTTCCTCAGAACATTCTGTGCAAGGCACTATCCATATAGTGGCACTTTTTAAATCATTTTAAACTGTTAAAATAAGAGTGGGTAACCTACAATTGGCTGGGAACTGCATGTAATTTTTAAATGAATAAATTTATAAATAAATTATAAAGTCGATTGAGTTGTGTTTTTTTCCTCTTGGAAAAGGGAAAAATTTGGAGGTTATTTTTTAAATTGTTAAGATTTGTTTTGAATTTCTTTTAGATCTCTTGTATACTTTCCCACACCTAAAAATGGCAGGAAAACATTTTTGTCCATTATAGATGAATGAATTAGAAATGACTGAGGGCAAAAAAGAATGGCTTAGCAGCTTCAGGTTGCCCACTGCTGTACTAAATGAATGGCTTTATAGAGATGGGGCCTTTATATTATTATTTTAGAGTGTATGTACTTCTTAACTCATAAAAGTCCTGTCTGAAAGGCTATATAAAGACTTTATGCTTTCCAGGTGAAGTCCACTTTAGAGACATAAAATTAAAAGGAAAAGACTCTTTTTATCTTTTACATGTTGATACAGTCTTTGAAATGGTTGATTTTGTGGTACTTTTATTGTATTTTATTTGTAAAAAAGAACACAATGACATGGAAACAAACTGGCTGTCATGAATTGTTTCATGAAGATTTTTAAACTCCTTTAAAACTATTAAGCTTTTAGTCTCTTGTGCTGATTTTATATCAATCTTTTGAATTCACCTTTCAAACATTTATTATATTTTAGCTGTTGACACTCATATTAGCAACAATGAAGAATAGCTTTCCTCACCCCTTAAACAAATTTCTTATCAAATAGAAACTGTGTTTCCACATGTATAAAAATAAAAGATTTAGCTATTTTATGCTAGAGATGCAAGAAGCAAAAAGTACTCTTTAGATGTGTGTAATCTTTTAAAGTTGTATTATGAGAACTAGTGAGATTATAGGAAAATCCTGCAGTTCTATTTCAAGGCTATTTGTAATATAGAAACAAAAAATGGACAGCAGTAAATGATCCAGTCTCCACTGAGTCTGCCCTTTGATTTGATTTGTTTTTATTATTTATTAAATTTTTGTTAAGACATATATTTACCCCAAGCATGTTTAAACTGTTACTGACAACTGACCTACTACCTCCACTGAAAGTTTGTTTCAAGCGTCCACTATTATCTGTGTAGTACTTTCTAACATTTTTTTAAAACTTCCCCATGTCAATTTAAGATTATGACCCCATATTCTTGATTTTTGCTTAATATTGAAAATACTGCCTTCTAGAACCTTATTTGCATCCTTAATATATTTAAAGGTTTCAATCATATTCCCCCTTCCCCTTCTGTTCTCTAGGCTTAGGCAGTACATATTCAGTTCCTTCACTCCCTCATGTTTTGTTCTTCAGGTCTTGCATCCTTTTTGTTGCCTGTCTCCAGACTGTATTTTTAAAACTCAAACAAAGAAAGAAGTCTAGTAAGTTTGATGCTTTCTGATAGTAAAACTTAAATCATCACAAAAATTCCCATCAGTCCCCTAGTCAAGAATGGGTGATAAAATCGTACCTATATGGATAGAAATAGGAAATGAATAGAATGGAACAGAACAGAACATAATTCTTTATTGGCCAAGCATGATTGAAAACACAAGGTATTTGTTTCCGGTGCAGAAGCTCTCAGTACATACAAAACAAGAGGATAATAATCATAGCAATCCCAATAAGAGGGGGTAGCAGGGAAGATGAGAAGTATAATAATACTATAGTCATATAACTTGAATATACTTGCACATAGACAATACTGTGAGGATTAGGTGTTCAGCAGAGAGATGGCATGAGAGAAAAACCTGTCCATGTGTCTAATTGTTTTGGCATGCAATGCCCTACAGTGGTATCCTGAGGAGAGGAGTTGAAACAGGTTATGTCCAGGATGTGACAGGTCTGGATTTACTTTCCC